AAATAAATCTGACATGAATGGCATCAATTCTGGACCATCGTTTTATTTTATTCAAGAGAATGTTAAGTTTCTTTAAAGCTGGAATTTGGTTGTGGACTGATAAACTGGACTGAGGTTTCGAGTTTGTTCTCTCGTTAAATTAAGTACGCCAAAAGTGCGCTAACTTTGAAAATGTGAAAAGATAATACCTATCGGTGTCACGTCATAAACTGTAACTTTATCAAATAAACATGGTTCAACCTCAACATGAAAACTGTTAAACTGAAGGTAGATTGTAAAATCAGTTGGGGCCTGAAAAAACGAAACTGTATAATAATTCTAGGAGAACCGTGGGTTTGAATTTGTTACATGTGGAAACAATGACTCATAAAAAATATTAATCACTTTTGTTCATGGTGTTCAATCATATAGAATTCGGGTAGTAAACATTTGGGGTAAAATAAAAGACATTTGTTTCAGAAGATGAATCCATATGAGTTAGACAAAAGGTGGGACGATAATCTCTTATGATTATCAAATGCAAGAATTAAGAAAACAGAAAAGGGCCTTTTCTCTTGTCAATTAAGCAGTGTTGTAAGGATAGAATCTCTTGTTTTGTTTTTAAGTGGTAACGACAACGTTATAATTCTGTTAATTGATTTGTCTATTGATTTGAAAATCCAATCGTTGAATTGATGTTTTTAGATTATTGGTGTATCGACTTTTGGTCCCCTTTTTATGAACTTATCATATAATGTAACGTGACTGGGCGGTAACACATCCTTAAACATGCAAATTTGTAATTCAAATTCTCACCTATCCCTTTTCATGACAAATGAAAATCAATTCTGTAGAGTACAAAATCTTAGTTACTGCATACAACGTTGCGCTCCTAACTTTAGTCGAAGCACCATATTGACCATGTGAGCACAAACATATAGTCGTTAGAAAAACGAAATTGTTCGAATCACAGACAAGACTTTACCTGTATATTATAGTAGCAATTTGTATTTACTGGGTACTGCATTGGATAGTTGGGACTTGTTAAGAACCCTTCCAGATTTACTGTATCATTACAATAGTTCGGCGACCTCTCAACTGAAACAAATTAAAAATATGTCAACGATTTTCGATCAATGCTTATTAAAGCAATGTCTTAGATCAATAGTGATAACAATGCACTGAAATATTGGTCGACTGAACATTCTTTTTAAGTCAATAGAGATCATAGAATTCATTTCATTAGTTTGTGTTCACCTCTCTCTTACAAATAATTACTATGCTTTTAAAAGGTATAAAGAGTACACAAACATAAGTAACATAAACATATGGTATATAACATATAACAAGCTCTATAATATGTTTCTTGAAAGTCTTTAGATCCGGTTGGTTAATATCTTTTGGACTAGAATCAACACAAATGATTTGACGCTCTAGTCAGTGAATTACTAAGAGGGCATTCAATATTTTTGTAGGTCGAAATTTTGCTCAAATTTGTGAAAACTATACACCAAAATCTAGAGAAATGTGTCCCTAAAAACAACTAATATTTTCGAGCCAAAACTATTAAAACAGTTTACGTAAACTTCAAAAGTTCCTTAAAAAAATAATAAAAATATTTCACAAAAAGCGGAATGTCCCTTTAAATTGCCTTCAGTCTGATATTAGTTTAGATGATTTAGGATTACTTTCAAATGAAATGAAATGAATGGAGTTTTACGTACTACTTTTCTGCACCATGTGGGCTAATGCCTGCTCATTTTCGATTTCCAACTGTCGAGGGATGTTTAACGTGCACAGCCTGTAGCACACGGGGCCTCGGATGTCGGTAAAATGGTCTGAGTCTGGAATCCAGTATAGTGATTTTATTTTGAAGATCTGATAAAATCCTTTGATTCTGGTAACTGACTAACCCGACAAATCTGACCGTATCAGATTCTTGGTCGTGATATACGAAATGGATATCAACATGCTTAGGGCCAAACATAAAATGTTACTTTTTATTGAAAGTTGCTTCGAACCATTTCGGATCACTAGTTTTTGAGAATTTTCACCATGAGAAATATGGCATCATGGGTCCTTTGACACATTACCGGATATTTTACACTGTCCCTGTGCTCCACACGGTATCACAATGCAGTCAAGGGATAGGTTGAACTTAAGGAGAAGGGAAAAGCATAGTGTATGTACTGTATTGTGGCACCAAATTGAAGACTTACGGTAATGTTGGTTGGGGAATTGGCTACCGTCTCCCAAAGGACTTGACTTTTAGTTCTTTTGTAATCAAACTCACGTGGAAATTATCCGATATCACTATCAGAGCTTTCCAGAGTCTTTCGTTATCGTTATCTCATACCACTTACTATTTATTAGTTACTAGCAGAGCAATATATAGCACCAACCTTTTCTTATAACAGTATATCTGAATTTAAAACCCACACCATTTGTAGACTCATCAGTATGAAAATATATCGATACACTATTGGATGTTGATTTAAAATCAATGACTTCATTACCACAATATTTCCATGGAATACTTGAATCATTTCCATTTTCTATGATTTCAACATAGTCCCATCTGCAATAGAAAGAAATATAGGACGAAACCGTTACCATTCTACTCATTTTAAAAGGCGAAGTGGATGACAACACAATCTTTTACTTACAAACATTGCTCTTGATTTTCAATCATGAAATATTTTGAATAAATATGGACCCGACCACCAGTTGATGTAGTAATTGTCCATGTACAATCTAAATCATCAGGGTAATAGTCTGGAAAACCGGGACTTTCAAAATAACCTTCTCCAGCTACTAAATGTCCACCACAATCTAGAAAAGTGTCTGAAATTTAAAGAATGGGAGTCATATACTCTCGGAATCCTTATAAATGGATATGATTTCCGATTTCCAGTTAAATGCTAAAAGTTGTGATATTTTTAGGAATACGGTACAGGGAATATGCGAGTACATGTTGTAATCCCACAAAGAATATTTTGTTAACTGTTAATAAAATTAAACAAAATACTGTATCATTAAAAGATTTTGATCAATCGACCTTTTTCAAACATAACAAAACCTTCGAAAATGCATCGTTCCTGTATCCGGATCCTGAAAGCAAGAAAAAACTTCAGAATGTGTATGTGTAAAGTTAGTAAAATGGTAGAAAACAGCGAAAAACATTAGGTTTATTAAAACTATTCTATTGTCTTTCAAAATACAATGTTAAACTAGAGCTTCAGGATATCGTAGACAGTATTAAACAAACATCCTGGCATAAAGCAGTACAAATTTAACGTAGAGGTATTGATATTTCATTCTAATTTTTTATATTCTGTATTTAGTAAGAACTAGAATAATAAAAACTATCTAGACAAAAATCGAGATCGAATCTTAGCCGGAGGACATCCGCAAGTTACAGCACATATTTCGATTTAATCGTAAACTGATATTAGGCCTCTACATCAAGCTTTTTAAAGGGACAGATTCGCCATTTTCGGGGTTTGATATAATATGTAAATAATATGTAAATAATCTTTAGAATTACTAGAACTTCAAAATACCTTGAACTATTCTATTTCTATATATCATTATTGTATGTCTTTTCTATAAATAGTCTCAAGAAAAGACGAGCCGTCATTTTAACTTTCAAACGTGGATAATTCAGGAAACAGGTGGACTTGAAGACTCAAATTCCGACGGTGAGCTGTGAACACTATTGCTGATTAGCTTAGCTAAAAAAAATCCCGTTTCTGAGACTAAGGTACGATTGGTCAAACGAATGTCGAACCTGTCCATCAAAGGTTGGTGATATATGTGTTATCGGAATATTTTATTCAAAGTGGTTATTTATTTTTTCGGACAAAGTTAATTCTCGCAAAACCAAATAAAAGTCTAAGGGTGTTTCAAAGCACCAGAAATGTGTCTGACATAACATCATCAAAGTTTACAACGTAACATTTTCTTTTTTCTTTTGCAGGATGGAACAAGTATGATTTCTTAGAAGAATAATATGATGTAGATTTAGAGATATTAAAAACTAACCCATCTCGTCATCCAAATTAAAACACTGGCTAATTTGGTAAGTTTGTAATCCTAGAAGAATCACCAATAGCTTATAATCAGCCATTTTGTGTTGAGAGTTAATAGAAGAATAAGGTCAGATAGAGACAAGAGGATGATGACGGATATTGTAACTTGAGATTTTGTCTACAAGCATATGGTCTTATTATTGTTTCATTTTCTTTCTATTAGCTTGTCACTGCCTTCACAATGTTACAGTAAACCCTGTGTTAAACAACCAGCTTGTATGGAGAGGTATTTATGACTTACGATGGTAAGTATAGTATTGTATGTTATTATCTTAAGAGGATTTCTTCATTGAACAAGCAGAAATGAATTCGAGATTTGTATCATGATGATATGATGATCCTTTCTTATTGTTACTGGATAGCTCTAATACTACGGTTTGTATCCAAAGGAGTAGCTCTAATATTTATGGAATTGTCCCATAGAATGCCATTACCAAATTTTAAAAGAAAGTAGCGATAGATAGTAATAATTTTCATTTCATTTATTTCAGGATAATTTCATCACATCACAAAACTTTATCATTTCATAGACTATACATGGAAATAATCGGCTTAATCTTTAACAAAGACACTGCAGTCAACTGTTGGCTCAATTTTCTTTAACATAGCTGATAAAACAACTATATCACGACCCCCTAGACACACGCCGGCCTGTTGTAGTGCATTTATGAAGTCGTCAGTTGGCATTTTGTTATTTTTTTCATTCAGTTTGCCACAAGTCATAAGACTATCTTTAATAGGAAAAGACTTGTCATTACAATGGTCCTTTATAGTTGGTAATACATCGCTGAAATCTATTTCATCCATGGGTGTGTTCAATAGAACTCTCAATTTAGATAAAGGTGGTCCTTTGATACTATAATCTCCTGTTACTCCCCCGTGAAGAACTGCGGTCTTTTTCTTCGATTGAAGAAGTTCTTCTCTGTAGGCTAGAAATTCTTTATCAACTTCAACCCCAGTCATATCCAGAATTTCTGTACGATTATTTTCTGAAGATATACCTTTCACCATAATCTTGGCACCTTCCACCCCAATAGGATTATGACCTATTCGAAAAACTTTCAAGTCTTCATTCGATTCCATATTTTTACTGATCAAAGCAGCAGCCTTTTCGGGGATCCTATTGTGTGAAACATCCAGTTCTTGAAGGACATTGTTGACTTTTATAATATCAGCAACGGCCACACCACCTTCATATCCCAGTCCATTGAATGAAAGGTTCACCTTTTTCAATTTAGCATTATTTTTAATCTGATCACACATTTCCACGGCATTGCGATGACGAAAATAATTCCAACTGATATCCAGTTCCTCAAGTGTCTCATTCTCACCAACACCATGACCTAAAAGTTTAGATGCTTTTTCTCCAAATTGATTGTGACTAAGATTGAGGTATTGTAAGCGACGATTTTCCGACAGTGCTTCATCAAAATATACAGAATCAGCATCAGTAAACTTATTACCAGAAAGATTTAAAATTTGTAATGTGGTATTGTAGGTCAGCATATCACATATTTGTGCACATCCAACCGATCTTAAGTTGTTATTAGCTAAATTTAGCTCAGTAATATAAATGTTTTCTTTCAACATCTGAGCGATATATGTACCACCAGTGCCACCGATCCAGTTGCTCTCTAGATCTAAATTAACAACATGGGTATTACTCTGCAGTGCTAGAGCCATAGCTTTTACTCCTAGTGTGCTCAACCCATGGTTCTTCATTACCAATTGAGACTCCTTCATGTGTCGTACGAAATAGCTAACTGGAACGATACGATAATGCTTACATGCTGATAGGTATAGGTTTCTACCACTTACATCAAAGTCTGTAACATCCTGTTCAGATTCCAGATCCGTATCGTATTCATCTTCTTCTGGCTCTGGTGGACAACAGTTTACGAGCAACTGTTCAGTTGAGTCAGAAGCGTCATTTTGAGGTTCGTCTTCTATAGTATTAGAACCTTCGTCTCTTTCCTCACCTTCCTCTATCATAGGCATTGTGACCTGCTGATCGGTATCCATCTTAAATCAATTATCTGTCCCAGTTGACTATCGAAATCTACAAGCTTCGTTTAAGAATGGTCTACTCTTTTACAAAACAATAATCGCTTTAATATAATTATGACGTCATAATTGTCTCTAAGAACCAAAAACAATCATGCATTTCCAGAGCATTAGATTGTGTTTTCTATATTGCAAAATTTTCGCCTTAACAGTCACTTATTTTTGCTAGAAAAACAAATACATTAAATACAAATGAAATAAGGGGTGCAACTCGTGCCTACAAGCCAGTTCAGTCGGAGGCGACCAGTGAGCTATAGTTTCTTTTTTCTAAAGACCGAAACGTTAGCCACCATTTAAAAAACTAAGGGATATCTCCAATTCCAGAGGGTGTCATTAGGACCTGTACTGTTTCAGGTGGAAGACACTGCATGACGATTCTATATCTCGCTCAACCTAAGTGTTTAAACCATACATAAGACTAAAGGCATCGCTCGAACTCATGTGGTCTCAGTTATACAAGTGTCTGGTCAGATGTATTTGTTTCTATAAAAGGGGTGCTCATTCTTACAAACATCGTCTAATTAACCAGTGACCATTAACTTTGTATTTGTCTAGAGATTGACATGTAGGTAATTGTGATCGTGACATTGTAATGAAATCTACCAGGATATTAAAATCATATAGGTATGTAGGAGATATAAAATCCTACCAGAACAATATAATATGACCTCACTAGACGTTTATTAATACTAATATTAATATAGAAATCAACAAACATTTTCACGATAAAGTGCTGAAATCATATTTTGACAGAAAAAATAATCCAAGGTCTGTGGTGTATACCTTCATGTTATCTACAGACCGAAACATCTGCTTCTGATAGCTATTTGGACAGATGTCGCATGTCAAAAAACCATCAGAGGCTGGAATAGAGGCAGATATTTCGGACTATGGTCTCTATAGCCATCTGAGAATAAAGGATTTTTTCCTTTGGACCCTAAAATTGGCAAGACACAGCGACATAATTCAATGTGGAGAGAAACGTGCAACGTACACTATGAGTTATATTCTCAAACACAAACACAAATTGGAAATTGGGAACTAGACCTACCTACCTAATGATGTATGATAGGTGCTATCATTTAACAAACATAAAGTTCAACTACATGGTGGTTATTTGGTAATCAGTCTCTTTCGCCTCTTCGTGAATAGTTCTTTTACGATAACCACGCTCACCACATTTTGATTCGGTACAATTTCAGACATATGACCACTAAATATATCTGTTTTAAGACTACAAGTGGATTCTAATTTTTTTTAAATAAGGACGCTATTTAAGAGTTCGAGGTCAACACGTGGTGCAAAATACAATACATTATATAATATTAACTCCCATGATCACTAATATTGCAACAAAACAGCAAACTTTCACGGTGACGAGAATTATCTGCTTGCTGGTTGAACTCAATATCGATAGAAAATAATAATTAATTTTATAAATAAAATACAATTTTACACAGTTCGTAGAAGCAACAAAGCAACAGTTATATTACCCTTAATGCAAGTTTGTCCAAAGTGATTTCCATACATACTTCATTGCTTTCATTTACTAATGCCAATCAGTTTGCCTCCAAATTTCACTTTAATCTACATTCTCTTTAGGTCTTTTAGTATTCAAGAGCCAGCCTACATCTGGCTTGAAAACCCATTTCAATGCAAACAATCTTGCATGAACAGAGCCGCTCCTAAATTGCTAAATTGCCCTTTCTCGTCTACATGGTTATAACACATCAGATAGTTCTTTTTCTTTAACTGACTGTTTCAATCTCAAAGACAATATTGTCCACGCCCACTTTTTCAGTTTTCTTCTTTACAGGCATAGTTTTCTTCTCAGACGCCGTCGCCCAATGTTGAAGTTTAGAACTACCGAATACAAGATATACAAAGGATCCAAGTATATAAACGCCTGATAACATACTGAATATTATTCTCCATTCCACTTCTCGTCTACCCTGAAACATAAAAATAACATAATCCAATAAATGTACCATGTTTTTTACACGTTAATCATAGGTGTACACACCCTTTGGGTTCTTTGAAACATCGAGGCAGGGTCTTTTTGTCTCATTAATGTGCAGTTCTCACAACTACTGAAACGGCTCTACATTTGCTAGTTTAGGGTGTTATTTAAATGTCATTTGGGTGCGTCTTCAATCTACAGTTATCTATTTGTATATAATATTAATATTGATATTATATTCTAACTGTATTTTATTTTTATTTATTTTTATAATTACCTCGAATGTTAAGTCTGAAACAACTATTGGCACTAAAATGGAAATACTTGAACCAACAACAATAAATAAACCAGTTATTATTCCTGCAAATCTGAGAATGAAAAAAGACAAAACTCCATTTATAAGTAATTAACTGTAGGGAATTTCTGAGGGATGCAATGTGGACAATGTGACTTACGTTGGAAAGGATTCTTTGACAGATAGCCCAAACTATAACTACCCTAATCTATTTATAAAATATAAGCACCAAATATAAGATGAAGAAATTATTTACCTGGGTGCTATATCTAAAGGTGCTATTGCAGATGATGATGGTGCAGCAGATTGGAAGAATAAGAGAAAAGCTAGTACAACTATAGCCCATTCTCTATACTCTAATGGTATAAAAGTAACTACAGATGATAAAATTGCACTCATCACAAATCCTGAAAGGAAAGCAACATGGGATTACTTCCGATGCCGATTTTATTGGTCTTTTGGAGGGGATTGAGTGTCTTTCGCAAGGTGCCTAGTGAGCTCTCAGTTTTGAAAACATCATTCCAACAGCTGACTTTGCTGCAGAGAATAAAAGCCTTCTTACTACCATTATCTTATATTAAATATCTTTAGGTTTATTGTATTAGATTTTTACTGACGCGTCAGTTTTGCTTAAACTAACATAAATCTACATACCTATGATTTGAACAAGTTTTCGTATAACCGTGACACTGAGAGGTGTTTTCCTAAGGAGTACATCTGACAGAAATCCCCAAAATAATGAACCAACAAAACGAAACAGAAACTGAACAGAAATAATAACACCAGTCTGAAAAGAAGATATAATCTTGCATTGGGAAGTGGCTGATTCCTATGCTGTGATCGTCTTGGTATAATATTTTTGTCTGGTTTCACAAAATTATTCAAGTATCTTTCATCGACATAGTAATACGGTAATTATTTTCGAATGATCTTGGGATTCATACATAACGACCTAAAGGGCACGGACGCATGTCCTCCTGATGACGTCAATACGGCGATGAATAGCTGCACCAACCACAGGCACCTAATCCTATCAATGTAACTATATGGAAACGATGGGTGTTCATTTTTTTAGTATTTTTATTGAACAATAGTTAGATTAGTATGATAAGAAACGCTAATGGGGTATAAAATATGTTTTATTCAGTGAAGCGATTCATATAAGGTATGGATTATGTTTCATTACGGTAAATAGTAGAAAAAGCGTTTGAAGTGGAGATGGTTGTGACACGCATTGGCCACCTTCTACTATATAATATAATATCATAGAGAAAGTCGACTATCTGATAGAAACAGGTGCCTGTGTCATCAAATATGTACATCGACTTTACATAGTGAAACACTCTTTCATAATTATATTTTGTTCATTGACCCACATCAAAGCTATTGATCAGGCATTTGGCTTAGTGGTTCTAATGGACACTTTTTGTATTTGGTCAGTGGCATGACAATCATTAGTCATGTGAGATGGGTCAGTAAGCACTGTTTATCGGTCAACGCAGAGTGCTTGAGAAATCGAACAAATAAACAATCTGTCTATTAGCTAGTAACACGCAGTTTCCAAAACTTGGTTTTCTTAGATAATTTATGGGAAAATAGTAAAATAGATGTGATTGAACCATTTTATTGATATGGATAATGAAAAATTATTATGACTTCAAGGAATACTACCTCTTAGGATAACCAAAGACTTTAAATTTTTAATCTTGAATAATAAATGATTATATACACTCTTGACCACGTTAGAGATTTTAAATTTTTTGTTCATTCAAAGACAAAAGATAATGAATAAAACTTACAATTCCAATGCTGAACTCTAGAACACCATTTAAATACAGAGGTAAAAATAATGAGAGTGTCGTTCCACACCATGTTTGACATGTTTGTGTTATAATGATGGCCCAAACTGGACGCGATGTCAATACACTCTTCCAAGGCGTTTTGGGTTTCTGGAAAGATCAAATGCTTGGTATATAAAAAATGTTATCAGTGTTCTTAATATTCTGCAAAATATTCGCAGTTGAAGGTTAACCTCTGAGGAAGGCGGAGTGGCTTTTTATTCAAAGTCATCAAGAAAAGCTCTCAGAAAATATAACTTGTAAGTAACACAATGTCTAATTGCTTTATGTCACATCAATAACTTAACAAAGTTAATATTAATTATTGTTGTGCTTTAATACACAATTTCAAATTGAGAATTAGCAATATACAAACCTTCTTCCCTGTTATACCAACTCTATTTGCTATGATATATTTCTTTTCCTCTTCTGAGATAAACTTATGCTCTTCTGGTGAATTGGAGACAAAAAAGAACCACAATGCACACCACAGAAGACATACTGAGCCTAGAATATAATCAAAATTACAATGTTCAATATGATTACATGTATCAGTGAATAAGACTTGTCAGAAAGAACAGCTGTGTCTGCTCTTGTTCTTTTAGGAAGTCTTTGAAATTCTCCATAGAGGGTATATTTAGTTATTTTCAAATATGGTTTCCCGTCATCATTAGCTCAGTAAGTTCCAGAACAGTACGACGTAAAACGTGAATCTCTGAAGGGGATGGTTAGTCTTTACAGTGGTTTATTGGGGGAAAAATCAATGGTATTTATATGCTTGATATACTTACCAAAAATATAGAAAATAAAAGGCCAGCCATTATCTAATTCGATTGTACATAGGAACCCATACGTTAGAGATGAGAATGTGTTTCCCAGATTCGCTCCTAGAAAAAATGTATATTTTAATAGCCGATGTAGCTATGAATTTCAATCAAATCAAGACGTACCAACACCATATTACAATACTTTTGTTTGACAAAAACAACAGACCATACCTGCTTTACTGAATGAGGCTAGAGATACTTTCTCGAGATAGGGAGACCATAGTGACCAGACATCTTGATATGCAGGTTTGTTTCCATACTGAAAGAACATAAAATTGATATAAGTGAGAAAGTACTAAAACAAATAAGGAATGGACAGGACTTTTATAATCATGCATAAAATAAGACATCTTGATGGGACGAAAACTTTTCCAGAGACGTTTATTTCTAACCCTTCGGACTTTGCTTCTGGTACCTTCGTTTGGGTTGAAGAAGAGAATTGAGCGAAAAAATTTCCGAGCAAATGTTATCTGATGGACTTTCGAAGAAAAAACAAACAACTTACTGTAAATAATCCAACAGAGAATTGCAGGGATATTAAAGAATATACATGCATCCGAGTCATTTCAGGAATCAAAATATAGGAAATTCCTGCAATTGTCATTACGACAAATATAAAACGTTTGGCACCAAATTTTTGAGATATGATTCCACCAATAAGTGGCATGAAGAAACCACTGTATCTATTTGCAGATAGTACTAATCCACGTGTATTTTTATCCCAACTAAACTCGTACTCTTTCTCTGTCTCTCTTTCCTACAAAAAATATAACCATACTATATAATCCATCGGATCGTCTTAATCTACAAAATGAAGATACACGATTCATGCCACAAAATCACTTGCACTGATTCTTGCATGCATGCATTTCTTCACAAGGAATAAAGCAAATTAATTGTTGATTTAATACAGCAATTAATAAGTGAAAATTCAAATTGTTTGGAATTTGCTCGCTCAATGACTTACTTCTGTAATAAGTTCGGTCTTGTTATCGATCTGAGCAGTCACATTAACAAAAACTATGGTAGAGGTATTATAAACTTCATCCTCTGCAGGTCCTGCCATACATACAATAGCTATAGGCATTGCTTCTCTTAGGGCCATAGTAATGAAGTTCCCCATACTCAGGATAATTGCTAACCGCCATCTCCAGGACGAACACCTCTCTTTCAACGAGGGAAGTTTTTGAGTCGGTTTCTTTGATTTATTCTTCTTGTCCTTTTCTGTATCCTTAACAGCTTCTTTTTCTTCTTTCTTTTCTGGAGTTTGTTCTGGAGTTTGGTCATTTTGAGTAAGGCCGTTAGCATCTGAAAAATTATATTATAATTACCACAACATGGTATTAATGGGTGTAAAGAAATGATACATGACAAAATACATTTTTCGTTTGAATACCTTGAGGTGACCCCAAATTCAATAATGATACCAGAACTCACCCAAGACCAGCATTTGAAATTGAAATGATTTATTTCTATAAGGGAAATTCAAAATGCCAATCTTATTCGCAAATCATTTGCAAAAGAAAAAATAGCAAGAGAGTTTCCTTATTATACGACCTTTCCACACCACACTGAATTAAGTAACTGTCCAAAAATCAAAAACACAAAACAAAGTCCTAACCTAGCGACCCATAATTTTATCCATGCAATCTTATTTCCGTCATTTCTACACTATCCATTAGAATATAAAATTATCATGATGTGTCAATCTTAACTGAACTCTTAAATCAAAATTTAACAAATAAATTATTTTTTCGGACCTTTCCTCACAACACTTGGGTAACTTTGGCATTCGGACACCAATGGAATTTGGACACAGCCCTGACCCTTATCTTGCTCATAAAAAAAATACAAACAAATCTAATCACCTAATCTATTGTCAAGGACGTACCAAACTATCTGTTCAAAAAATGTTTAATTACCTTTAAATTATTCCTGGATCTATGTAAATTCAGCGGCTAGAAATATCTTCAGCTGTTGCTCCGATTAAGAAGAGATGTATTCAGCAGTCTGTACTGTGTATTCTTATATTTAGTATGAACTATTTCCGCATTTTATTCAATGTAATTACGTCTCTCTGTTTTACATTGATTTCAGGAGAAGAATGTTGACAAATTTTTCCTTAAAAATATTGAAAATAGACTCTTTCACAAAGGATCAAAGTAGTGAATGACGTTCTATAATAAACTGTGTTGTCTCAAGTGGATATATCGTTTGGAAATCCCATGGGGCGTTTATTTAGGATAATTTGTCTATGGGAGAATTTAACTTTTTCATATTGTATGTATTATTTGATATTAGATATGCCATAGTCCCTGCACGTGATTGGGATAATGAATAAAGGCAAATTTGGATGTATGCTTATGTAGTCAATTCATAAGATCTCGTACAAGATTGATGGTAAATCCATTAAGGTTTGTCCATAACTTGATCAAGATGCTCCAAAGTCTTATTAAAATTAGACTCAACTTTCGTTTCGTTTTTAATTAGTTTCTATTTTTGGAATAGCCACTTTAGCATAGGGTCTAGCGAACGGACTCTTAAACATTCGTGAATATAACCTTTTGACCTCTACTTTAACCAATCAAATTCCTTCAATCTCTCACAAAATGCCCACACAGAAGAAGGCGCAAATTTGAATGGTTAAAGCAGGTTCGGTCAAAAGCTTATTTTGTGTTCAAGAGTCTGATCGTAAGACCTTACTCTGAAGTGGCTATACTAAAGATAAAGAGTAATAAAAAATAAAACGAAACGAAACGAAACAAAAGTTGGGTATAATTTTAATTTGCCTGAGATCAATTAAAATTTTACTAATTCGATTTGCTGTTAGGACAAACAATTTTTACCACCACCGCACAACACCATCTCAGATTACATTCTCGTCACTATCTAACTATCGCCATCAGAACGCATGCCGGTCACAACCGTCAGTGCACAGATTGTACCACACAGGAGATTATAAACGACAAGACGTATTCAGATCCCAGTATTACTTTCAGTGCAATCGAACTGGGTTAACTATAATTAAAGTATTTCGAACATGTCAACTGAAATATCTCGGACAAGTATCTGAAATAACATGTATTTTATTCAGGTTCATGGAGTATATCTGCTTTGTACGGTGGCTCACATGCGACATGATATAAATTGAGAATCATTGGTAAGCTATAGTTTCAAATTATGGTTCCTCAACTGGCTACCATTCTCCTATTAGTCGTACAGTCATATGTTTAAAACCAACAACTACATTTGTAAAATACAGAGATAAAGTGTAATGATCCGAGAAAATTTTAATATACTTTGTATTTCAAAATAGGTGACCCGATATATCATAAAAACTTTTTTTTAAAGCAAGAATAAGTTAGAGGATGGACGCTTTATGATGAAAGCTAACCTATTATAAATGTTTTTCACGAAATATAGACAGTACACTCTGTGTAATCCGACATACATTGGGACCGTAAAAAAAATGTCGGATTAGCGAGAGTGTCGGAGTATTCATAATTTCGACATTTTTTAACATGTGCCACATCGAGATGCCGTAAACACTCAGCAAATGTCGTTGCTTTAAATTCACTATCATTAACTTCATCTTCACTAGACTCAATATCGCAAATGGTGGCGTTTGAACTAGACGCAGTTTCTTCATGGCGATGAATAATGTCTTCTTCAAAGTCCCCGGTCGACGGATTCTCTATGGCCACCGCATTGTCAAACATCACAAAGTTCTCACCGCTCACTTGCTCGATAAGCCGCGCTCATCTTCATCGTTATCCGTGGCTCCATCAGATGCCTTAAAATCAACGATGTTCATTTCACCAGCAAACATTAACGCTTTCGTCTTAATTATCGAACCAGAAAGAGGAATGTTGCTGTCACAAACCAACCAGTCATTTTATTTAATTGTTCATATTTTGAGTTATTGTACATACGCTTTTTATCGGAATTTATATTGTCGGCAAACATTTTTTTATATTCTTTTTTACGTTTTAAAATGTCACTTATTGTCGTTCGACCTAAACCATATTTAGCGGCTAAATCTTTCTAAGTAGGAAGCTCAAACCATTTGATTGGATTCTGTCTGTATGAAAGTCCGACAGTTTGGATGGTCATCTCTATATGTATAGGTCTGTCGTGCATTCATTTAATATAGTTTCATTTGAAAGACCAATTTCGAAACATATACCCTAACTTAACACGCAGTTACCTCCAAAAGATTGAAATATTGCGGCGAATTGGTCTGTCCTATACAGTAGAGACACGAGCAGGAGAATAAAGAGTGACTAAAACTTTGATTCTCTACTGCAAGAAAATGACGCAATATATCGATCCTCAGATCCTTGACTACTAGTACACCCATGGAGCAGTTACTGCATTTGAGTTAAGCCCGGATAAAGGTTCTGCCACGAGCCATTTCACAAACTGATAGTGCTAATTTATTCACCTTTTGAGAAAACACGAATTGGTTGTTTTGATCGTTATTAGTTGATGAAAAATTAAAAAAAATGTAAAGTTTAATACAAATCAAATAAAATTTCGTCATTCAGTGCCTACATAACACGTATCATCAAAATCAGTGAAAACCTTAGCATCTAATGTGGAGAAACCGGTCGACATGCAATGGGACTCATTTTCACAGAGTCATTTCCAAAACAGCAATCCTAATAAGAGATAAGTCTTTCTTTTAGAACAACAATAGAATTCTACATAAATTTATTCATTTAAAGAACAAAATATAAACTGAGTATTCTACAATAATCTTTATAAAATATATAAACAAAAATAAAACTTGTATTCACTATAAAATATGGCCAATAATAAATTGTTAACCCTGAGTTACATGGTAGATATAAATAAAGTGTGAAAATATATTATATAAATTCGTGCATCAAGGGAACGATTCAAAAACACAAACAGTCTACTTGCTATTGATTCTTATAGTGGACTGCATGTTTATGTTTTAATCCCAGAAGCTGTCCACTAGAAGATTCCTCAGCCTATTGTTGTGTAATAAATATACTAATATAGCTTAGTAGAGTCTCTTGACATCTTTCAAGAGGTCAGATACAGTTCTTTATAATTATGCCAATCATAAATATCTTTTTAAATGCAACCCATAATAAGTTAAACATTTAAAAATCAAAAAGTAGAAACAATGACTTACATTGATTCCTATTACTCAGACCATATTTTATATAAACATAAGATACAAATTCCTGAGTTTTTTTTTAAATATCATGTTTTCCTCGTATGCTGCTTTCTTCATTCTACTTGAAACTTAAGTGATTGCGTAGTATGTATCATATGAAAAATATAACTACATTAGATAGCAACTACAGTTTCAAACCTGAGTTCATCCGTACAATCAGAATAATGATAAACATCGAGCAGCAAATACTGATGTAAAAAATATTCCTGTAACAGACAATCTGTGGCTAACAATACTGGTTCCAAGGCTCGGACTGTTAAGATTCTGTAATTCTAATTCTATTGGATAATGATCACTCACTTTCAAAGTCTGTAATATAAAAAAGATAATTACTCTTCTAAATATTACTGTATCAATATTATGAAGTATCTTGAATAATTTAAGATTTTGTTCGTTATCTTTTTATAGTAGCATTTTACTGCGTTAAAGGTGTTTTAAACTTCGAAATTGCCCCAAACTGTCCAAATTTATTTTGACATATTGTTCAGAACTAAAAGAGCTTAACAACTTCAACTCACCAATTCACGAGATAAATCAAAGTGTTTCTGATAATCAAATACTTGTACACTGTCTTCTACTATATTTTTTATAAACTCTTTTCCTCTTATAATAAACCTAGAATGCAAGAGAACTAATATAAGTTTAGAGTCTAAAATAAATAAAGTAATCTTATAAGTACTCACTTGCCTTGTAAAGGATATTAATAATGAGGATAATGGTAATATGGCCTTGTTCCCAAATAATATTTTATCATAATTGAATTTGAACCTTGAGAAAATTAGTAGGCCAAGGAAACATAATTGAAAATGTAGGTTGAATTAAAATTACAGATATTTCTATTTTCGACAACAAGGTGAATAACTCCATTTTAATTTTCAAAATAATTACAAAATGCCAAAATTTTAGCTTTGTGTTCAGGGCTTTTATCATCTAAAAAATCCAAATGGTTTAGAAAAGCAGTTGAAATATAAAGGAGTGGCAGTATTGTTATTAAGCAGGAAAAGGGCAAAACTCAAATCACATTTAAAGCCATTTTTTTAAACCTTGTTGTGATTTAAAGACTTGGTTGAAATATTAAAAACTTTTTCGAAATTCGACTTCGAAGAAGAGATTTCGTGTTTATTATTTCCAAGTAAAAAACCATGCGATAACTCTGTCCCAAATGTAAAGTTCCATGCAAGAATGTAAAAGCAATGACTAAAAAATGAAAGTAGGTATACCTGTCATAAGCGCAATCCGAATTTCCACTTGTAGTGTCAACATCATCACCTATAGGCCAATACAAATCACTTCTATGGCGTATGGCTAACTTCTTCATTTTAGATTTAGACACATAACTACAATCAGCATTGAGATCACCCAGTACCACAACGTTAGCAGTATTAGTTCTACCCATAGTATAATCAATAACATCTTCTAGAGCACTGATCTCCTGAACAGCTATATCAGGATCAACGTGTATACCAATCAAACTGAACACATCTGGTACTGAAAAATACATGACAGCATTTACCGAATACCGAAGGCAAAATGCAAGATAGAAGACAACTTATGGCTGTGGTGTCATTGAACAAAAGAACGCTGACAGAACTGAATTGTACCTATCCGTATTGGATATATGCATCCCACTTTTTTCTGCTTTTGCAGGTTCCCTTATTTTCATTTATGAAAATGAACATGCTAATACTTATATGAATAGAAAGTAGAGATGTTCTTATGACTTGGATATATATACCAGTTTGTCTCACATGTCCATAATTGATTCATAATTAGCTAAATTGGAAGAGAATTATTAGCAGAATTCCAATGAGTGACCGATCAAGAAAGGTCAAAAAGTCGTTTGATAGTTCATTTGAATCACCAATTAATCAAATAGTTTGCTTAATTTGACACTATAAAATAAGGAAATCCATCTTTAACGACCCAGTTTTCTACTCTTGACGGCCCTAACACACACCAGTGAAATTGTGCCAAAATAGCTGAACATCAGCTCGCAACTGAAGATACTGTTACGCTCTCTATTAGGATTTCATACCGACTTTGGAGCTTCCACTGATGTGCAAACATATTTCAAAAAAATTATCTTACCTGCATTTGATGCTTTAAATTTAACGACGAATGGTTCTCTTTCAAACTGATCTGTCTTATCTACTTCACTTCCATCTTCATACAGAAAACTATCCACAACTTCAATACCTCTATCTTTTCTAGAAAATCAAACGATTTCAATTGTAATGTTAACCTAATATTTATGTGTTGTAAACTAACATCCATGTCATACCATGTAACAACGTGAGTCAAATTTTCTTATATTTTACAGATTAGAGAAGAATTAAAGATATGGTCGGTCACAAAACAATTCTAAAGGGACAGATCCCCATCCAATGAAACCTTAGTCTCTGAAACGAGAATTTTCAGGCTATACTGTATTCCTTGTATTCCTGACATTATAAGAAAATGTGAAGTGAGAGGTCATTTATTTAAAACTTCTGCTTTTAGCTCACCACTTTCAGCTCGGACGAAGCTTACCTATATAAGAAGGCATATTGTTCTTTACTGTTAGTTCTTCCTATTCTTTCACTGATTATCATATCAAAAACATCACCTTCAGAACTAAAATACAATTTCATACATGAAAATACATGTCTCTTCAACACATCCGCAACAATTACTATAAATCACGTGATCAGTCGGCTAAGCATCATGCTTACTATATACGGTTTGTTTTGTATTATATGAACAACCGCACGAAACTCGAGAACAGTATATACAATACTGTATTGGCAACCCCCTGGTTGGTCCTACGACTTCTATTTTCACAGAAAGAACTTGTGGTTTGCTTAATTATTGACTTACAATATTTTCATTATGAATATGGGGAAATGCAAAATCATTAATGATTAATTTAATGATGCTAAGAATAAACTGTTTTTCATAGCAAAATTTCAAGATGAAGTTCACTCACTGTGACTGGACGGTTTCTAATAGTCGAGGTATAGCTTTCTTTTTAGAGTCTCTTATTTCCATGATCAAAACAATATCATAACGAACCAATATCTAAATGAAAATAAGCTTAGACAATAACAAAAATAATCCTAAATCTATAGGGTTTTTGCAATGTGTTTCATTCAAGAAGCCGGAAAGTTTGTTTTGTGATTTATTTCATATCAGAATCCAGCCTCATTGGATCTGCTGTCTTGAAACAACTCTTTCTTCGTTTCCTTCAGGATAATCAAGTCTAATTGTAACGTATCCAGGATCAGACGGAGGAAGTTTGGGAGGTATATTTATCCGTATTCAAAAAACACACTGTGAAAAATACGATAATGTTTATTCCAGTATAATCTTGGACAACGTTATCCCATAAAAAGTCGAAAAAACAGATTAAAGGGTAAAAAGCTGAAAAAATAAAAAAGGGGATTTCACACAATTTACAATACAGAATGTGGGATTATAAATACATATACAAATAAGAATGATATTGTCAATATTAAATCATTAATAAAAATACACTATTTCTTATATAAATATTCATGAAAGACGTTGTCTTCTTTTTTTAAAAAAGGCTTAATAAATAATAAAAAATGAAAACTCACACTATGGTGGCTTGTGTTCCTTTCAGGAGAAAAACTGAGATAGTGTCCTCAGGACTAATAAAAAGGTGAAAGTGAATACAAATTTGTATGAAGGTTCTTATAAATAACTGGTAGAATTGGAAATATTTAAGTTAAGATTTTTTAGAAGATATAGTTTCCCTGAAAGTTTCGAATTATCTGATTTTTATGTCACTTAATAAGATTATAGAAGAATTTATGAGCTTGCTCATAGTACTATTTAGTTCATTTGTATATAAGAAACGATGGGAAAAAGTATATTTTATAAAAGTAAAAGAAATATGGCCCTGTAACGATCTCCTTGTTAGCCTGGAAATGCTGACAGACCAGACAGACCATCAGATAAACAGAGTAGTTGTTTTGGTGAGAAAAACTAACTCTGTGACATGACACTAATTGGATGAGAATCAAGACAGTCTAATTTTGCCCTAAACAGCGGTTTTCTGTCCTTATTCCTCCGCATTTTGTTAGTGAAACCACATCATTCTATTATGTTTTCCCCAAAAATGGGCCCGAATAAGGACCGGGAATTTTTTAAATCAAATGTAGGCTATCTTGCTCTACTAGTCATCGAATGATGAATGTGAATATTACCATATACTGAGTCATTCATTTCACTGTCAGGTATATGCAATTTGCACGCGCTGATGCGCCAAAAATAGGGTACAGCCTACCTTTCCAATTATTTCCATCACTTCAGGTTTCTTGGACTTAGAATCACCAAAAATTTGGATATTAAACGAACCAATCTTCAATGCATTAACAACCCCATATAAAAATACTGCACAGAGTAAAATATATTGCACGACTTTTGAAGACATGTTGTAAAATCTGAAATGATAAGAAAATGACATTAAGAAAGAAACTTCAAGTACGAGTACATTAGTGGGTTCTTAGAACCCCAAATAGAGTTAATAGGTGTAAAGTGAACTTGAAGTTGAGCATCGTCTAATCTCGAGCAACATCTTAAATACCCCTTAAATTCAATCCTGGTGAGAGACCAGCACGATTCCGAACTGTACACAAGAATTCCGTTCATTCAAGAAGGGTGTATGCGACAGTTTGAAGGTAAGCAGGCGAACAAACGAAGAACAGAGCAAATGGATGTCTCTCATTACGACAAAGACGGTAAGGAAGAGTTCCTTAGGACAATTAAGATGACAGCATTATAGAAATGTAAAAATAGTTACATAAGATGAAGCTGTGGTTGACAACTCAAATATTAAAGAAATACCATCTAAACACTCTACAAGTAATCACGTTGATGATAAGTGAACAAGAGCCAGAGTCTTTTTGTAAAGGTGTGGTGTAAAAGAGTTTTAATTGTTTCATTCTGCATGAGAAATATAAAACTAATACAAAAGATAGTTTCAATCTAATTTAACATATTGTATATTATAAGATTAAACTTCCAAGCAATTTTCAAAATTACTTTGTATTATGGATTATAGAAAGAATTTGTTATGGATTCAGTCGTATAGTTTTGACACAAGGTGTAGGATCCTTATTCTTATTTTATACACTCTTTCTATTCCAAGTCCATGTATTAGATTATTATTTCTTTGTGATCGATTATCAAGTCTGCATTTTATTTCAGGCATGATATTCGATTCTACAATATCGGAAGTTGTAAGTTATCTCAACTATGAATAAACAATTTTCTTGGACGTTCAATTTCTTTAAATTGGTGCCTTGCATGAATGAAATGAATCAACTCCCCTACATGTTCCTGGCGAGACGGATTGAAAACTTACGGACAATAGTCTAAACTAAAAAAGGAAAGTTGTTAAACTTTGAAAAAATAATGTGGAAATGTTCCCACTCACCAGCCGACACGTTTTGGATTCCCAAAATTGACCTGCAACTAACTGTTTGAATATTACTCTGAACCTTATTATGCCGCCTAGAATAAGCAGAATAATAAAAAATTCCCGACGGACATCGAGCTTACGCTTACTAATTTCGAGCGATTGTCTGATCAATTGACTCAAAACAAATGTAATTTGTATGATAAAGGGAACTTTTAACCACTCTGCATGGATAAAGAAATGATGACATCATTGATGAAATCGAATTGTCAGGCGAATATAAAGACATTATTCAAATGACTTTAACCAATTAGAATCCAGTCTGTCAAATGATCCTATGAACATGTCTCTTTAGCCTAAACCAAAAGGTAACACTGCCAACCCAATAGAGATAAATAAAGTTGGCAGTTCCAATATCCAACCCCAGATTAATCCCTGTATAAAGCTTCACAAATTATAGGCCTACTATTATATGACGACCAGAATGACGTATGAATGAATTGAAATTTTGTTCATGCCCATTTTTCATATATATGATGAACCCACCATTTTTCTTACAAATTGGGGAATATCTACTTTCCATCAGTAAATGATAATAAGATACAAGCTAATGACTTCGATATTCGTGTTTTTGAAGCATCGTAATTCGTTTATCGTATGACCGTATATCAACATTCTTGCAATATATCGATCTCAATTTTTTCATGGGTCGTGCAAGTGAAATGTCTTGTATGTATACAAATAGGCCCGAATTTTAACAATTCTTGCTATGTTTACGTATAATTTTGAGTACATCGATTTTGATCTATCCAAAATAAACGAATTTGGCATCTGGATACGAACGAGACTGCAGTTGTAACGCGATGTTGGTGGAATTTGGCATATTATGTATATTGTTGCGAAATTTTCGCGATTTTTCTTCGAAATGTATTGGTGATCACTATAGAAAAAAAATTTCTTCTGCTTTTGTCGAAATTTGGAATGCTATATTAATGGTAACTTCTATCTTCAATTTAAGTTCAATTAACGTTTTTGAGTTATTGATCTTTGTTTGGCAAAAACAGCGTCAAAATTTTCTTGTGAAAACAGTTATCTCTTCCACCGATTATTGTTTTGACATTAATTTGGTTATATTTACATTTCTACTATCACTCCCTTCAATAAAACAGTTAGCCAAACCGGCGTTTATTTTCCAATAACTGTAGTTTGTCACGTAACAATAAGGTGTATGACTACATCGAGAACGAAAACAAGGGTTGACCCAAGTTTTTTACCTAGAGTTGGAAAGCAATTTACAATTTATTTAAATTTACAATTGTTGTTAATAATTGTATTTTTACAATTAGAAATAGAACATTTTGGCGTATTTTATCAGAGAAGACAACCCAATGTAAATATAAGGAATGAATGTGGATCTTGTTATCGTTATGGGGAAATTTAACGCTGGTTTATCATGTGACAAGACAAATGACCCGGCGAACTCACTGACGTAGTGGCGAACTCAATGGCGGAGTGGCGAACTCACTGACATATTAAGTGGCGAACTCATTGACGGAGTGGTGAACTCACTGACGTATGAGGAAGTCCTAGACAGGGGAAAAAATATCATCCGTCATACGTCGATATTACCTTACAGAATACGAAACACCAATAATTACAAAAGAAAAAGAAGAAAAAAATGCAGCATTGATTCAGTCACTATACTTCAGCCATTTCGCCAAACTAAAGGAATGCATCAGAGCGGCACTGGTGTCCGTCATTAAGTGGATTAAGAAATTGATATTCTGATAGACCCTGGCCATTATTGGAATCTAGTTACCGGCAGGATCTTACGGGTGGAGGATGGTCCCCAAACTATACACACGCAAATCGGATGGGTACCCTTGGGACCGATATGAGGAAATCTACCTACTGAAGTTCAAACTAACAATCTTATCACAACACATGTCCTAAACTGAAGAAGTTATGGGACTTAGAATCCATTTGTACAGTGTCTAAATACGCCTACGAAGAATTCTTAGAAACCATAACCTTCACGAAGCATTACCACGAAGTCTACCTATAATGGAAAACGACGCATCCTGTGCTTCCGGATGATTACGAATTGAGTTTGCAAAACCTCCTTAAACGTCTTCAACGCGATCCCGAAATATTTCAAGAATAATTATGATAACGTCATTAGAGATGATATAAAGAATATAGTCGAAGTACCCATTGGCAACATACGCTCACCATCACTTTAAGCCTACGGACAGACAAATCTACTACGAAACTCAGAATTGTGTATGATGCGTCAGCTAGATCTGCTGGGCCGTCATTGAATGATTGTGTTTACACCGGACCGATTCTGACGCAGAAAATAATGGACATCATACTGAGATTTCTTTCTTATCGACTGGCGTTAGCAGGGGACATGACATTGAAAAAGCTTTTCTGATGGTCCGGATTGCCGACGAAGATGCAGACATATTCATATATCAGCAAAAATTTAATCTAAAGTTATTATTCATTTTCAGAAAATATAATAACTTATCGAGCAACTCAGTACAAACCAAAAATATCAATGCTTCTTAAATCAATGAGGAGAGATTAATTTGTGTAGAGAGAAACAATAGATAATGCAGCCGGCTACAAGAGCACTGATCAGTAGCTGAATTTGAAAAACTGAAAGAAGAGTCGACCTAATAGTTCATAATTATATTTGATATTTGTATGCTTTAATTAGATCCTTATTTTTATGTGTGTATCTTATCTTAAATACATGTAGATTGTGATTATGTAGTTTCCTGTATGATTTTGATAATATTTATAGCATTTTAGTAAATAATAGGTTTGATATTCATTGATAAACATTCCTCCAGTGCAGTGGCGTGAGGGGCCAAGCAGGGGCCACACAATTTTCTAGCGGAACCATAAACCATCCTTTTACTACTACTTTTAGTACAACTCTCAACAATCTTATCAATCGAAATATCAACAATCTCGTCAACTTAACTATCATCTAGTCAACAGGATTTTCAACAGTCTCGTCGACAGAACTTTCAACAATCTCGTCAACAGAACTATCATCTCGTCAACCGAACTATCAACAATCTCTTCAACTGAACTATCAACAAAGTCGTCAACAGAACTTTCAACATTCTCGTAAAGTTAACTTTCAACAAACTCGTCAACAGAACTATCATCTTGTCCACAGAACTTTCAATAATCTTGTCAACGGTGTCCTCCCAAACATCCCAAAAGTTAGACAGCATAATATTATATTTCAACATTCTCGTAAAGTTAACTTTCAACAATCTCGTCAACCGAACTATCATCTTGTCCACAGAACTTTCAATAATTTTGTCAACGGTGTCCTCCCAGACATTCCAATAGTTAGACAGCATATTATTATACAGATTATCTATAATAGTAGAAAGTAGAAAATAGTAGAAGCGAATCGTGCCCACACCGTGTCCGCGCATGGTGTTCACTTGTGCTATTTTCAACTGTATCATCATACCGCATCGTATACCGTACCAGACGCCGTACATCATCTATTCCCAACAGATCATGTAATTAAGATTTCAATTCCCAATAAGAGTATTGTATATCATCAGTGGACCAACACGGTGTAATAACATTACAACAGAATCGGATAAATTCATACAACTAAATATTTATTTATTATATATTGCTATATTGCATTTATTTATAGCGCACCGGACGCCGTACTTAGTCTATTCCGACCTTTATTCAAGCTGCGTTTCCTTTGGTACGGATTCGGTGTGGTCACACCACACGGCAGGTTGTGTTTCCTTATATGCGGTTATTCGTGCGGAAGGGGTCTCTTTTCAACATGGCACTGGTATTGTCACGTGTTGAAAAAAGAGCGAACTTTGGAATTCTCCTACACATTTTATCTTTTTGCCGTGCAGGCTGCCCAAACTGTGTTTCTATATGTGCGTTTCAGGACATGGTTCTGCATACGATTCCATACCAATCGCTACATGGTCCGGTTCGAAAAACCGTACCGGATGCCGCATACGGAACCGTATCTGCACCCTTATATAAGGAAATGCTTTTACTGAATGAAAGTGATATTTGCCGTATCCGTATCCGGACCGGATCCGTACTAAAGCAACCGCAACTTCAAGGTTTTCCAATAAGAGTATTATGGTGGACCTACACAGTGTAATAACAATGCAACAGAATCAGATAAATTCATACAACTAAATATTTATACGTAATTATTATAAGCGTTTATCATTTATTGCGTTGTTATATAATATAACAGACTGCAGAATCCCTGTAAAATTCGATAAATCTTTTTAGTTGTATATTATTATTATCATACAAACAGTTTTCTATGCTAAAAATTCTCATTTAAAATAATCAGTACATTTAACATTTAATTGAAATAGAAAAAGATATGCAACAGCTATGTTGGTATTGTTTGTATATGTTCAGTTTGTGGAAACTGTCTTCAATCATAGGCATAGGCCTAGAATATTTTTCATGAAGTTATTGATCAAAATTTAACCAGAACATCAATAGTAATAATCCAACATGTTCAAATTAATATATATATATATATACATATGTTCCTTCAGCAACGTTTATCACATCGTACATTGTTCCAAAAGAACAATAGTGTTCAAGAACGCATTGTCAAGAACTATGCCTGCTAAAAAAATTCAATTATTTCGAAAATAGTATTTGAAAAGTCGAAGCCTGATCACTATGTAATCTGTAGAAGAAAAACTATAATAAACTGATACCCACTCCAAAGCGCAATCTAACAATTAATGAAATAGGGTCCCAAAGTGTAATATTTTTAAAATAAGACTGTGAGTATGAGTAGCCTAATGACCTACCTGTTTTTTTTTTCGCTGAAAATAATTTCTTACAAAGTCACTAACTACACAGACCTTTAGGTTAAAAATAGCGACATTAAATGGGCCCATTACAAATCTCACTATAGGGCAATCTTAGGCTAGTTTTAAGAAGAAAGGATTTCGATACCCTATACGCGTAGGGCCTACTAATTTATCATCATGTTTCAAAGATGAGTAATCAATAAATGGTAACTTACTAAATATTGACTGTAACTATATTCACTATTATCTTGTCCTCGACCTACAACATTCTTTTTCAACATTCATTCAAAAGGCGGGGTCTCAAATTAACTTTACATTGAATTCTTGTATAATTAACATTTCATAATTACATCTCACAACACTGAGCGACCTATCTTACAAGCGCCAGCCAACAAAATTTCTATATTTTAGTTCAAGTCGCGTTCATTTTAGAAGCAACACGTTTTGTGACCTACTTACTACTACATTTTGCCAGGTCGGTTTAGGATATTTCATTTTCCATCGCGTCTATGGACCGTTGCTTGCAGATACACTTAAGGGTTATACATGGAGCTTAAGAATATAATTTGCCACCAATATGAATTTAAAGCTTAAGAAACTAAATATTAAGATAAAAAAAATTAATGTTCGTCTTGGTGATAATTCCTGTTATATTGGATTTTAAGTATTTTATGTTGCCATAATATTATGTCAAAGATAGCTTGCCAGGCAAGGTAATATACACCCACTGGCAGCTGTCAGAAATGATAACTGAGTCTTAAAAGTAGCCAAAATATGAATTTTCTCATTCCAAAGATTTTCATAATGTATTTGTAGTGTGAATTTATTCATATCTATATATATTTACTGCTGAGTTTTTCACAACATTTTCAAAATCAATATTAATAACCCCAAATACATCGAATTAAATTCTCAAATCACTCTGCTCTGATGTCTTAAATCTTTAAAGATATTTTATCAGTTAAGGGCAACAGTTTATCTAAGTATAGCTAATAGAGTGAAACGTCCAGTCAGACACGATATTTATCCGATCATCACAAAAATCGATAGGGATCATCTTCATAATGATATTGACACACAAAATCAAAATCAAAAGAATCTGTTAAGAATTGTAGCTCGTAGAGTGAGCACGAGTTGCACAATACAGCTAATAGATTGAAACGTCAAGTCAGACACGATATTTTGGTGAAAAATTATTATTGTAGTCTGTAGAGTGAGAACGAACCAAATGTGAAGATGGAAGCCAATTACATGACTTTTTAAATAAATTTAAATGAATTTTTTGAGAATGCACACAAAATATCATATCAAACTATTGTCTTAGCAAAGCAAAAGGATTTTTGATTTTTTTCTGTATTTTTTAAGAGAATTGAAATATCAGCTTCAAAATAATACATTCTTACAATGTCTTTGCGTTGATCAAAATGTGATTTTTTGTCAGTTTACATTGAAAAGAAACAAACACATTTCTCTCCTAGAAAGTTTAAACACAAAAAGTCACAAATTGTCCTTTGTATCAACAAGTTTTGAAGACATAATGTGTGCTCATGCATATATTTTAATCTATATTTTTGAACTTTGAGGTTTCTATTCCAATTCTCATAAAAATAATTGAAAAAAAAACTTTTTACTTTCCCATACAACAGTCAGCCAGTTGAAGAATGGTAATTTGTCAGATTATCAATTACAGCTTTAACAACACTACCTCTTTAAGGTATGTTTTTTTGTTCAATCTAGTAAACTAAATGATATGTTGACATAATCTATCTATTTTTCACGTAAAACATTTTTATAACAACAAAATAAATTACACATAATAAAAATAAACAAGGGACTATCATGCAGTATATCAGGTTGACCAGAAAAATGATAATGCTGCAGTGGCTTATCCAGGAAACATTAGTAAAAGGGGCCAAGCAAGGGCCACAAAAAGAGACACCACTGTAACATGTTCATTTCAAGATTATTTATAAAGTTAAGACCATTACATTACAGCTTTAGAGATGAAACAACATTAAAAAAAAACAGTCTACTTTCCTTTATTCTGAGGAATAGGTTTTGTATTGATCACTAGTTTGTAGTATATGTAGATGAACAATATAATATTTTAAAAGGTTACATTTACAGAAAAATTCAAACAGAAAAAATAGCTATGTGTAGAATTTGTATTCACTATTATTAAAGGCTATTTCTGACTAGTTCATTACAGACTTTCACTAATATGGAATATACCCAAACCAATACTTTATAGTATTACAATAAATGAATGAATAAAGCATAGAAACAATATAGTTGATTATTAAATACATCATTTGTCATCTGCCTCTTACAAAGAAATACTGTTGAAATGAATTATTCTGGCCATACCGCTATCTCTTGTCTATAGTCTGCTGTGTTATTGGTAAAGTGTTTGACTTGCCTTCTTCAAGTTTAAAATGTGTATAGAGTAAAACACCTGAAAAAATGCATAAATCTATGATAGAAAGTTATAATAATCACAAACTAAACAATTTATATAGTTTACTAATGGCTCTCACTTAGATAGGGATATATTTGTCACAGCAAATTTGAGGCTTAACTTATAAAGTTGTACAAAGAAGGAAAAACCCTTGACTGTACTGCAGTACTGTGTGAGGGTAGGAACATCACAGAATATCTGGTTATGTCTTGATGGACTCAATAATGGTTCAGCTTTGTATTGTAGCGATACCAAAAGTTATGCATATAGCAGTAAATTTTTGGGATGTAACCATAGTCAGGTTTATCAACCATAAGCATGACTTATTGTTTTGTTTAAAAAAAAAAATGATATAACTAGTATGACCTTACCTCCAAATGTTATTAAAAGTCCTAAACCTTGATGAAAATTCATACTTTCTTTAAATAGAATTAACCCTGCGATTAATGTGAGACAGAATTTAGTATGACCAACCATATTATATCTTTGATGGTTAAGGTTTAATATGACTTACTTTAACCCCTCAACCCCTCATGAATGGATATCATAGTGACCTAATTGTTAGCAGCCCACATAGCATAGGTTTCAAATGCAAGGAGTAGTAAAAGGATCTTAGGTACATTATTTTTTTAGAGAGTATTTAGAAGTTTCCAATATTTAAAATATTATATTTAAAACACACTTTATATAAAGGATACGTAACTGGTGATGTATTACCAATAATCCAGAAAATAGTTAAATTAACAGAGAAAGCTACAACTCCTGATAAAAATACACAAACCTACAAAAAGAGAAAAATGAAAAGGGTATGAAGATAAAATAAAACCCTTTGACAGTTGCTTGTATATTAATTACTTATTACTTAATTAAAAAATGTTCTTTTCCTGGGTTTATCTAAAGAAAAGTATTTCACAGCTGAAAATGAGCTCAATTTTACATACTGAAAATATTTAGACTCAGTGGTCATCTTCAAACAAATCATGCAACAATTTTCATCAATAGCAATGGTATCAAATACTTACTAATGCACCCAATGACCAATTATATAATAACCCATGGTAACGCCAAGGTGGTTCAAAGAATGGTATGACAAACATTAACAATAATGCTGACAAAGGTGCTTGATAATATAGTAACTGCATGGAATTGACTTGAAATTCAGATTGTTTGGATCCGACCCACTGTAATATAAGATTTAATGAATCACTGACAACTCACAACCAAATCTAGCAAACAGTTTTTTTTTTTCAAGTTTAAACTGGCCCGGTGCAAAGTGTTCTTGATTATTATTTGAACATTACTTTTCATTTATCAACATAGTGATAATATGTTAGAGTCTTACTATTAGAATGCTTAAAAACAGAATAAAAATACTTACAACTTGGTAGACCGAAGTAACTAAAACACCAAGAGTTGCAAACAGAATTCCCAAAGGATTAAAGTTGACATCATGGTAGGAGTTAAATAAGACACCTATGGATATTGGAATCTGAAATAAAACACTGAAAACAATAAAGGACACGATTTGCCATTTTTGAGCATCTAATCTATTGGGTTGGGTATGGGTCTTGAATATATGTAAATAGCCTTCAAACCAAGTAACTAGAAATTTCTATTTTCATTGTCTTCCTGTATATGGTATACGAGTCTCAAAAAAAGACCAGTCATCTTTTAACTTTATAACTCGAATAATTCTGAACGCACATTTGAATGCTCATATTTCGAGCTATAAACACTATTAGCTTAGCTAAAAATTTCCCCTTTCTGAGACTGACTACGCTTCGTCAAAGGAATGGCGAACCTGTCCAATTAAAGTATATAGTAATATTGATTTGTGATAAACTAATGACATATAACATCTAACCCATGTTAGATTTCAGTATTAGGTACCAGGTATAGTAAAACAAATGCTGATATGGCATGAAAAATCAAAATTTTCTAGAATTTACTCTTGTTTTACAATCATATATAGTTTTTTTCTTAATTAACCGCATTAAATTTTCATTTCTACATATCAAATCCCATGAACTGGTTTAGAAATATATATATAACAGTAAATACTAGTCAGATTTCATATTCAATTAGTTCGCAAACTTACAGCTGTTTCAGATAAAACTACATAATCTATGATACATATAATTTGTTAAAAGTATTCAATTGTCAATTAGACATGAATTTAGTCAGATTGATTAATTTTATCATGTTTAAAGGGACAGATATTTTAGAATCAGAAACAGGAATTTTTTAATTAAACCAAACAGCTTGCTTTTGAAGTTGAACCTTCAAATCCAAATGTGTTCAGAATTATTTCAATTATAAAGTGAAAAAGACTAGTTAAGGCTCTGTCATATTTAGATAAGACATATAGAAAGGAAAGTAAAATTCCTAGTTTAGAGTATTTTTGAAAGAATTATGTGATTTTCTTTAGTACTTCAGAAGACTATTTACCAGAGACCAAAATCAAGACCTACAAATGGCAAATCTGTCCCTTTAAGTCAATAGGCTTTCATAGAAAAAATGTTTAGATTATTTGTATTAATTTGAACATGTTGGATTATTACTATTGATGCCCCGGTTAAAATTTGATGGAATAACTTCATGAATGATATTCTTGTTCATATGATTGAAGACAGTTTCCACAAACTGAACATTTTTAAATAACAAAATCTTTCAGGTCTGAGCTTACAATGCTGTTGCATATGTTTATATCTATTTCAATTAAATGTTATACTTACCAATGTACTGATTATTTTAAATGAGAATTGTTTAGCATAGAAAACTGTTTGTATGACAATAATACAAGGTGTAGTCATAGCTTTAATCAATTGATATGTTCCTACTGAATTTAAACCAAGTGACAGATTAGTGAACACAACAAACCCACAAAATGTCAAAGCCAGTGGTAACATCTGAAGGAATGGCAAACTTTTCGGTTGGAATATGTTTAATTCTTTACTGATATGAAGTCCAATTGAAGTTACACAAAAATGAATAAAAGTCAGTGATGTGTTTGGAAAACCATAGTTTGTGAAAATCCATTTATTCAATATAACTATAGTGATAGAACTGATGATATTCAATGCCAAACATATTGACACACGAGTTCTTGAAGGGCCTGTCATGCTTGTCGGTAGACTAGGAACGTTTGTAGTACAGTAGTAGTTCTTATCATACCATTCACTTCATTCTTAACACATGGACACTGTCCACCATCATCATTATCATCTGTTTACCGACCTTGACCTTTCGGGAATCCGGAGCTCATTTGATACAATCGGCTTTCTCGACTAGTCTCTATACTATGAAATAAGAATACAATAAGATGAACCATCACAATTTATAAAATAAAAAAAACCGTTAAATTTGATTAGAACTGTTGCCGATAGAAGTCTAGAGCTAACGCTTTCGATGCATGATTCTTTCACTTTAACATAGTAAGGCTAGTTGCAAGTGTTTCCGAATATGGGCAGATAACTCTTGTAAGTATACAAAATGGCTGCGCCCATGAAGATGTAAACGTGCTGAAACTCCCCCAACAACCTCCCAGTTTCGAAGGTTTCTAATATTTCATCTTTGTTGCATCTTTTTTCTTGAAATATATTTTGTTCTGTGGCTAATCTGACCTCGACCGGACTCTTCAAAGTTTAAATTGCTCTATAGTTCAAAGTGTTTCTTAAAAAAAAATGAAAAATAGATAGGCTAAAACATTTGATGAAAGGGCAAAGGCACCGGATATTGTTACGGCAGCCGTAATTTGAGATAACTGTCTATAGTTACAGCACTCATGATGTTGTCACCCTAACCTTATTGTCTGTTTTATACCGTAAAGAACTAACCTTTTCCAAGACCCTTAGAAAGGCAGCTACATTCTACAAATTTAAAACAAACAAAATGCAAGATATGGCAATCTCTACTTTGCCCTAAACGAGCCACCAAAAGGCATTCCTCTTGGCATTGACTGTCAACACAACACAACTGAAAGAAACCTTTTTGCCAAGTTAAAAAGTCCTGCCGTAGCTTGAGTGCAGAGCCGTAACAATGGTCACTTTTTTCTTAAAAGGGTCCAATCAATGTGAAGCGGGAAAGGCACATGAAGCATGATATGGAGAGGGGAAGCTTCTACCTTCTTTGTATTTACTTTTTTGGACTATTCTGACACTAATATTCTAATTCACTAACTGCAGTCATTGCAGTAAAGTTAATTAAATATGATTACGTTTTGTAATGTCTTGAATTTGTTTTAGAACTTCAGATAGAAAGACACCATGAAGAGAAAATTGCAGAAAATATCTGCTGAGGTCCCTGTCAAAAGGAAAAAGAATGAAGAACTCACAGAAAGTAAAAATGATAAAAAATCTAAGTCAAAGCTACTACCACCCCATGTAAACAAAAAGCAATTAATCACAAAAAATGCTTCAGAGAGTAAAAAGACCTCAAATGACAAAACAGTGTCAAAAAGTAGTAAACAGAGTAAAAAGTGGAAAACTTGGAATAAGAAAAAGAAGAAAGGCAGCAAACCGAAAGAGACTATTAAAGATTCTGAAGTAAAGACTAAGCCAGGGACAAGTACAAAAAGAGTTCAAATTCCAAAAGAAATTTCCAACAATTGGAAGACTTTGCATGAAGTAAGAATTTTTTACTAGTTAAGAGTTATATATGGGCCCACTGACATAAAACTTGTTAAAAATTGTAATTCATTATTTGATATTAATGTGTGATTAAAGATTTCAAATGAGATCAGCCATTACAACAGTCAAAAACAACACTGTTTTGTAGGTCATGTTAAAGGATCAAAAAACAAAGATGAAAACAAACAGTGATAAAGTTAAAAAGAATTATCCATCCAAGACGACATTTACTACTGTAGAAAAAAAAGATCCAAAGTAAGCTTACTATTTTACATGTTCACGTCTTTATTGATGTTTATTGTTTTCTCTCATATTTCAGGTTCACATTGGCTGAGAATTTAGTTTTTAATTTATTGCAATGATAAGCTTACTTAATATAAAATCATAAAATAAGGTTTGACCTGTATATATGATGATATTGCCCAGCTTTGTTTTAGAAAAAATGCAATTTCTGCAGATTTTCATTAAACTTCAATCAATGTCATGCATTTAAGAATTGTAGTGAATGTTCAGTAAATTTCAGTAGTGGATCTTTCTGGAATGAGTTAACTGTTAATTTGCATTATTGCTGCTGTATACAATTTCAAAATTATTATCACAAGCTGTGATTGCTATTTGGAGTTGTCTTCCATTATTAGATTTAGAAGTTATATTTTATGTTGTCTGCTGCCAAATGAACACAGAATATGTTTTTAGAGTTATTGATATTTGGTTTGATGGTGTGGATGAAATGTTGTTAGATATTGAAGCCCGAAAAGCAAAACGATTAGCTGAGGTTGCTCAAACAGGGAAAACAACCCTTAATCCCTTGGTAAAGACTGGTGCATCTGATGGGTAATACAGCTGTTTTGTTTTCACTTTCAGTTTAGACTGGATTGAGAGCACTTATCTCTTCTTGATATTCATATATATGATATATATGTATATGCATGAATGCTATAAACAGTTACATTTTCATACACCCACTTAAAATGTTGAGGGTTCTTCTTAACTGCTGCATTAGGCATGTTTATTTGCCTGGCAAGCTATCTTCCACTCAAAAGAAATAATCTACTTCTGTATTGCTATTTAATGATAGTTATATATGTATTTTGTGACGTAGATTAACGAAGGTAGTGGCTATGGATTGTGAAATGGTTGGAGTTGGTGTAAATGGAGATGATAGTATGTTAGCTAGAGTATCTATTGTTAATAAGTTTGGACATTGTATATATGATAAATATGTTAAACCCATGGAGAATGTTGTAGACTATAGAACTTATGTTAGTGGAATTACGCCTGATAATATAAAAGATGGTAAGCACTATTCCTGATATTTAATATGTCTTTAATAATTTCAAAGAAGTTTGAAATAAAATATTTATAAGAAGAAAACTGTGGATTTGACATTATATCATATGATTTGTTTAAGTTGTATCTAGTTGATTATAATAGAAAACTGTTTGAAGTTTTGAGGCACATGGAAATCATGATTCCATTTTATTTTCAAGGTGAAGAATTTTTTACTGTACAGAAAGAGGTCAATAAGATTATAAAAGGAAGAATCTTAGTGGGTCATGCCCTTACTAATGACTTAAAGGTAAGTTTGAGAGTACAGACGCTGACGTTTCCAGTTTATTTCATGCTATTTATTTCATAATTAAGTCTATACAATGTTTAACAGGTATTGGTAGAGGATATTGACTGAATGCACAACTGGACATACAAAGTTGACACAAAAATGCATCTATCTGATCTTTTACTTTATTCTCTTGATCACTTTTAAATATATAGACCTGTGTTGAATTATGCAGACTGAATTCACAGATCGTTAAAATGTCCAATGGTCAAAAAAATACACAGACATCCATAGCCCTGGATTCCATTTCTCTATGCCCACCTGTCTATCTGTAGTCTGTCTTTCCAATAACATTATTTTGTTAAAGCTTTGATAGAATATACAGTTTTTATCCAATTTTGATACATTTTAGTATGTGTATATGAAAGTCATAAAAGTTTCAATATTTGTTTCCTGTCATGAGTAGAATGGCTCATGATCTACCAACTGAGTTTCAAATGACATTTCTTGTGTGTCTGTCTACATGAGGACTTTTGTACTCTTGAAACATCTTCTATACCAGATTTTAGTTTAGAGTTGGTATTAACCGTGTAATAATTTTGAATTATTAAAATGTATTGTTATTGTAGGTACTATATTTACAACACGATAAGAAGAATATTAGAGATACCTCTAAATATAAAGGCTATCGTAGTTTATTTGGTTTTAAAACACCATCATTGAAGAAATTAACTAAAGAGGTTTTGGGAATTGATATACAAGACGGCGAACATGACTCTGTAAGTTTAAAACTTTTCTTTATTAGCCTTACGTTTGTTCAATTTGATATTCAAATTTGGAAAGTAAAATTAAAGAAAATCATTGTCTATCAAATTGATATTGATGACATATTTCACTTGTCAATCAGAATAACTGCTGAAACAAATTACTTGTAAATATTTATTTCGAAAGAAAATGTAAACATATTACAACTACAGATCTTTTGAGTAATGAAATCATGATGTTGATGCTAATATGTCGACTTTTGATATAATAACTGTTGAAAATGTTAAGATGTTTTCCTTCAAAAAAGTCAAAATGAAATTGCATAGGTATATTTTGTTTTCAGATAGAAATTTTCAATGTAATTTTAATTTTTTTAGGTACAAGATGCACAAGCAACAATGAGACTATATACTATGTATAGAAAACAATGGGAAAAAGACTTAAAAATTCAACACAGAAGACAGAGAATAAGAAAATTAAAAGAAAACAGTAAAACTTGACCTGAAGTTCTTTTGAGTGCAAAAACAATGTTCTTTCTGGCAATGATTACTCAGTCAGAAATTCAATATTTCTGGCATAACATGAAAAATCCACAAAAATATGGCAGAGTTTAGGAATTCTACAGCCGCTCTGTTTTAAAAGTCAAAGACAGAGAATATTAAAAGTGATATGGGATGTTGCATTTTGTTTCCTAATAATCTTTCAGGCATACAATTTAATTTCTTGCAAAAATTATATATTTTATAATATAATATTGGCTTTTAGCAGATCAGCAATAGATAATTGGTGACTTACAGGTACTTGGAATGGTAATATATTAAAGAGAGTCTCAAGGTTCCCCAGGGTTGTGACATTTACCTTGAACAATATTTTAAGTATTAAATGCATTAAAGATGTATAAAAGGAGAAAAACTCAGCTCACTGAATAAAAATTTCTTTTTCTTTCTTTTACCCCTTTCAGGTGCATTGATCAATTACATTACCCCCTTTCCCTCTATAAATTCTTACTATTTCTTGATTTTCCTTCAGGTGTTTCTTGCAATGTTTTTATGTGGGACAATATAGACTGAATAGAATGGTGTCAGTTATAATTGTCAAAATAATGTGTGATAAATCACAAAGCATCTCATTACCCCCATAACTTTTGATACCGATACATAGCTAAACCATTAAGACATTACCAGATATTCTGCAATGTCTCTGTGCCCTCAATTGGTACCACATTACTGTCTTCGTAATCATCGTAAAATTAAGTCAACATGGGCTTTTGAAAGTTATCGGCTGGTTTAGCCAATAAATGTCCAAATATCTATCAGAGGCTGGAATAGATGCAAATGTTTTGGACAACATGTAATAGAAATGTATTTGTCATTCTCAAAATAAGATTAATGTGAAAAATACTGAACACAATCACTTCAAATTTTGTAAGATCAAAATCCTTTAAAGTTATTTTTGCCGCATGAAGTAAAATTCAAATATTCAAAATAAGTCTTGGGAGAGTTTCCTGTTCTATTGAAATATGTCTGTCTTGTTTTGAATGAAAAGTAACTTTCGTTTTTCTCTTTATTGTTCTTCAGAAGACCAGGTTTTTGTTACACTTTTATTGATGTCGTCATTGTCAGTGTGCAATAAAAGACATGCAAATGTTAAGGTCACATTAAAACTAACAATACCTAAATTGATAATACCCAGACAATCAAGTATGGGTAGATGGGATAAAAAGAGTATTAAAGGTATCTTATCTTCTAAATATTTGCTTTACTTATAGCCCATTTCAATATTCGAAACACTTTTTTAAGCAAAATTTAGTAATTCTCAACATAGATATTACAATATGATGTCATCGGTTGTAACTGATCACCAGAATAGCTTAGCTTCCATCAGTTTGTACAACAACTATTTAGATGAGTATATCCCATTAAGACACATTATCCTCTAGCAGTGTAATCTAGACAGGTAATACCAGCACTCCAAAGATCTAAATTGATATAGTTATTAATATTTATGGCGTGTTTGCATCTGATTACCATTGATAGTGTTTCATGTTTCTCTTTCGAACGTTTTTATTGGGGATTTCAACAATGCTAGGTCTACATATTGTATACTTGAAGTAAAACTGTATGAAATCATGACCTGTCAAACTTTTACTAATGGGTTAATATAATAATAATAACAATACTTTATTTGACAGGAAAACCAGGCAAATCTTCCCTGGCATCCTCCTGGTAACTACACATACAAAAATATCAAATACAAAAATTATAAGATACACAAACACAATTTTTAAAATACATACATACAAAAGTATGTTACACATACACTTACATACACAGTATTTATATACAATGATGTTAAGGGGGAAACAAACATTATCGTGATGGTGGCGCTTTAAGTAGCTCTGCCTTTAGTCTCATTTTAAACATAGCAAGTGATGAAGATGATTTAATTGTTTGAGGTAGTCGGAAAGTTTGTTTCATTGCTTTCAATTTAAATATAGGTAAATAAAGATCTTGATTGGTTTGCGAGCGAAGGTAGAGATTTGTTGAAGAAATAAGTGATTTTTTGGAAAATGATTTTCAAAATAGAGAGGGCTTCTTTCATGATTTTGTGAAAGACTTCAATCAATGTAGACTCTCCTGATCGACATGTAAGTGACGTCTAAAAAATAATATAGTGATAGTAAAATAATCATGTCCAAACCACACCCCTATTTATCATCGAGGCCATGGTAATACAAATGAGGGAAATTATGTATTCATAGCTATAACCTTTCTAGGAAATCTCAGCTAATCAAACCAATCTCGTACGGGTTAATGTCAAAACCCGTATTCGGGATATCATGTAATGAAATAATCAGTTAAGATACATTGGATCCACTGGGATCCAGCTATTTCTAGTCTAAACAGTCTTTAGTGCCTCAATGTTTATATAGATACCACAGAGTGTTGCCGAATATTATTATCATAGGAATACTTGATCACAAGATGGTTATTGTAAGAGACAAAGTGAGTGAAGAGACGGGGGTATTGGAATGAGAGGATCCAACTTTTTCTAAACTTAAAGTTTATAGAGACTATAGTTTAAGCATGCTTCATCATCTCTGTCACACATACAGCTAGGTAGAGAAAATTCTAATGTACAGGTATTAATTTCCACTGTCATAGAATCATTTCAATTATTTCAAAATTTCTCTTGCTATCATTATTACAACAATAGACCTACACCCTTTTTCGGATATTTTGGAATTGGATGTAGAAGGCTAGTTAGAAGCACCCATCTCAGCAGGTGTTTTTTTTTTCATAACGCTTACTTTCCATATTTTTTTTTTTGGTTGCCATTTTGGTATCGGAAACATTGATGGTAACATTGTTATTGATGTTATGTGGTAAAGATAAGATTTATTTGACATAATAATTAAAACATATTAGTCAGGTCCACGGACTGTTGAATTGAACTAAAGCAATTAAAGGCGAAGTGTATTATTTGTTTCATTCAATAGCTGCACCCATACTACACAAAAGATTTGACCTTTCCTTTGTTACAATTATACTAAGTTTTAAAAAAAACTTTCACAGTAAATAACACACCTTCTCAGTTTCAGTTAAAAAGATGACTTTTTGACCAAAATATTGACTTGAATTGTGATGGTGATACAAGAATAGCAAGTTCTATTTACTAGTGGACACAAATGAGAAATATTATCTCATCCAAATTAATTCACTATATACACCTTGTGTAACAGACGTCGTTGCTCGTACACGTCATTACATACTGAATGACTGTTCAGTGTTATGTATGATGGCTAGATCTATTTCATGTACTTGTCAACTGTATGGACATCTTGCAGGCATTTGAACGGTTCGATTTTTTTTTTTTTTTTTTGCAAAATTACAATCTTGAAAGATCCTATAAAAGGGCGCACTGTGAACAAGCCTCAAACCTGGACAGGTGAGCGAAGTGCTCAGTAAAAAGAACTTCGATTTTTTGCAATTCGCTGAGATCATGCCCCTAAAGAATGCTGGCAGTCGTACAGGCAGATAGAGACATTCAAAATATTTAATACTCAGAGAGAAACTTAAACAAAAACCTGTTTTTATCCATATCTATTTTAGTTTATGCTGTATAAGAGGAACGGGGTTCCTTTTTTCGAAACACTCGGTCATATATCAAAAAGTCTGTTAAGATATAAATGTAAACATGAGGTCAAAAAAGTATGGTTGCAGCTTAGAGATCTATAAATGAAAAACTTCAATATTGAAAATTTATGAAATTCCCATTTCAGATTTTAGACAGACTATAGATAAAAAAAACAAGACTTCTTATTAACATTATACCTTTCAACATCCTAATCAACACAATAAATCACAAATCATTCGTAGAAAGCATCCCAGAGTTTGGGGTTCAAACTTTAATAAAAATACGAAGGACTGAAATCTGACCTCGACTTCCTGCGGTACAAGGAACTTACAGGATTAATATATACGCTCGTCACAAGTTACGTTTAATAAAGTGACTGTACAAATATTGATAATGGTACTATGAAAATTGTTCAAACCCAAAAAACAAACAGACAAGTTTAAAACGTAGAATGGAAAACACACAACCTTTCGTGATTGAAAGCATATGGGTATTGCCTCTTAAAGTAGGTTTGTCCGGAAAACCTAATTTACGAGAAAATAAGACGAGAATCTTCCATTTTCAACAAATGTATTACATGAAATTCACACAAAAAAGGAAATTCTTGAGAGTGGAGAAGGCAAACACCCAACAACGTACATGAAAAAAATTGGCATATCTTACATTGGGTGTACCTTTCATTATCAATAAGAGTGTGTCAGATAATTAGGTGAATTATGTAGCCAGTGTAATCTGTCAGATTTTACAATATAGATGTAATTCACATACTTATTAATAAACCCATACTCTTACTTTGAATTCGAGTACCCATTGGAACAAACATATTCATATATGGATTGAAATAGTATTTTTCTTTTTATCTGTTTAAAACTCAATGATACCCAAATTATAAATAATGTAACAATATAATAATAGTTATAATTTGTTATATTTTTTAAAAAATTATGTTTTTGTGGGGTTCTTTTACTCTTTAGCAATATGCAATTTTTTTCATCTCACTTCTAACATCAGTTTTTATCATCCCACTTCTAACACCAGTTTTTATCATCTCACTTCTAACACCAGTTTTTATCATCTCATTTCTAACACCAGTTTTATCATCCCACATCTAACACCAGCATTATCATCCCACTTCTAACACCAGTTTTTATCATCTCACTTCTAACACCAGTTTTTATCATCTCACTTCTAACACCAGTTTTTATCAGCTCACTTCTAACACCAGTTTTTATCATCTCACTTCTAACACCAGTTTTTATCAGCTCACTTCTAACACCAGTTTTTATCATCTCACTTCTAACACCAGTTTTTATCAGCTCACTTCTAACACCAGTTTTTATCATCTCACTTCTAACACCAGTTTTTATCAGCTCACTTCTAACACCAGTTTTTATCATCTCACTTCTAACACCAGTTTTTATCATCTCACTTCTAACACCAGTTTTTATCATCTCACTTCTAACACCAGCATTATCATCCCACTTCTAACACCAGTTTTTATCATCTCACTTCTAACACCAGTTTTTATCATCTCACTTCTAACACCAGTTTTTATCAGCTCACTTCTAACACCAGTTTTTATCATCTCACTTCTAACACCAGTTTTATCAGCTCACTTCTAACACCAGTTTTTATTATCTCACTTTTAACA